TTTTTTTTTTTTTTTTTTTTTTGTAGTGGGGATCGAACTCTGGTCCTTGTGCTTGTGAGGCAGGTGGTAGAACCATTGAGCTAAATGCCCAGCCCTTGGCTGACTTTCTGTCTTGCTAAATAACAGGGGAAAAAATTCCAAACTTAGTAGTCTCTCACAAATCCCATATATGCTGCCGACTACCTACATATTAACAGAGCTGATTCCAGAATTGATTATAAAATAATAAAAAATAAACTAATGTGACCGATTCTGAAATTCTTTGCATCTCACTACCCATGTTTTAAAAATGCTGCTGGTAAAATGAAAGGGCATGCCTCCACTCTGAAGCCAGTTGCTGTTAGGGCTTTGGTGAGTATGTTGTAAGTATTGAGCTTGATCTTCAGTTGACAAGAACTTGGCCAATTAGTCATTTATTTAATGATATGGGATCACGAGGATGGTGTTCACCCTTAAGGCTGTAGTTAATACTTTTTCATTTGATAAAATATTTATGAAACACCTCATTCGAATCCATATGTGAATGTAATTGCTAGTATTTGCAGTTTTAGGAAATCTCTCAGACTCCTTTGAATGCCAGTGAACCCCCCAAGGATCCAGGCATCCCAGGTGGAAAGTCCTGGGCAAGAACTGCACCTGACCTCTTGGGTCAGTAACAAAGATGTAAGAGAGGATAAAGAAGGGGAGATACGAGAGAGATTTATACCATCAAAAAGGCTACTGCGAATAGCCACCAGTTGTTGAGCTCTGGCGAGGTGTTAGACCCTGTGTTAAACACTTTAATATATATTTAATCTTCATAAAGGCTTTTGTTATTGCAATTGCCAAGGTACAAACAAGGAAATTGACAGAAAGAAGGTAAGAGACTTTCCCTAGACTGCACAGTTACTAAGTGGCAGAGCTTGAGTGCCAACCCAAGTCCATAGTTCTAATTACAGTGGAATACGGGATCTTAAAATCAGATTTTCAAATGCATTATTCTCAAGGGTAAGAGTTAGAAGCCAGTGCCTATTTTATACATTGCAAATTAAGTGTTGAATCATCACACGGTACCCCAAAAATGAGTACAATGAAAATAAATAGAAAATAAGTCAGTGCTTTTTATCCACAATTAAGTGTACACCATGAGAATTTAAGATTTTACTTTAAATTATAAGCAATAACTAATTTAGAGAAACCATCTATATAGCAAAAGTTATTGAAAACGCATGATCAGATTTCAGGTTTGTATACAGCAACTACTTTATTATTTTCAAATGCAAACTCTTTGCATTTAGTTTGCTATTTTACAATTTTACAAACTAGGTATAAAAGACCATAAATAAATGACATAAGTTATGTGTACCTAAAGTTCTCGAAGGAAAGAAAATCACCTTGACAAATTAAAACAAAATAGAAAAATCTATGTCTAATTCAAAAGATCGCTCAAATTTTGGAACATGTATGGAACCAAGCAATGTTCTGTTAATTTCTTTTTCAGTATGAACTAAATTATAATACTCCTTATACATTCTAATTTTAACCACAGTCCTTGCATATTCCAACATACTTGGAGTGATACAAAAAATAAATGCACTCTTCAGTGTGTATCATTGCTTGATGTTGTTTGGATAATGTTAAAGAAGTGAAAATATTGCTTCTAGAACTTTCCTTTACTGGTCAGAAGTGTCTTAAGCAAATATTGAGGCTATACAAGTGTATGGATTAATACACATATCCTTCACAGATTGAAAATGAGGTCTCAGGACACACATGCTAGCAGTGTATTGAGAACAACCTTTTTTGAAAATAATTTTTTAAACACACCAGAACAGTTCATTTAAAAGATTGCTAAAAATAACTTGGAGCCTGTGGACACATGGTGAAGCTACTGGATCTGGTGCTAGGGAACCAAGCTTCGCTCTGCTTAATAGATCTGAGCATGAGTTAGCATCCAAACTCACCAAGTCAGTGCTTGCTCAGGGGCTAGACACAGACCAGGAAGTTGGCCTCTTACCCTTACATCTGGGAAAGATGGCCAGCTCAGAGAGTCAACCTAACCTCATTTTTAGACATTTTTCAGGCATCAATGCATAGGCACATCCCTTTAAAAATATATTAAGGTCCCCAAAAAGGGGTGAATGAACTTTGTCACTCTGGCATAGCTATGAGAAGCCACACACCCTGTCAGAATGCAATAAATATTTATTGATGATTTTCTCTACTTGTTCAATAATAATATGGTTCAGAATTGTTTTCCTCCATTTTTCCCTGATTTGATGGTATAGCTTATATAAATGGCCACAGTTCTGCAACCATAGCTTAGGATAAGCAAGGCAGCCACTCAGATTATGTAAAATGGCAGTATGTCAGCTGGAGTTTGGTATAGTATCATTTCAATACTGAATCTTCACACACCACAACTCAGATTCAAGAAGGCTGATGCATCTTGAGGGCAAGAGGAGTTAGCTGCATATTAATTACTGTAGAATTTTCCATAGAATTTGGGAACCTGAAATTGCTTGAGCTGTTTCATCCCAGCTACATTAATCACAAGAGTCACTGGGATGTATTTTTCTGTGACACTGGGAGACAAAGTATTAATCCGGACACATCATCTCAAAGCTGACACACATATCTACGTTCATCTCCAAAAGTATCTGTTTTGCATATATTTGTTCACATTCAACAAATCCATTTATGCAGGGAAACAAAGGCTACTTGTACTCCATTTGTGGTTACCAGACAGATTCCATCCCCTTTTCTCTCTCCAGCAAGGAACTGGTGAGTTAGATGACTTGAATCAGAATTTGTGATTTTGATGATGGACCGTCACCTGAATGGGTTTATATTCTGAAATTATTCCACCATTAAGGTGAAAATGCCTCTGCCTGAAGCTGTAGAATTAGTCCTTAAGGTTAGAGTGGCAGCTACAAAAATACACTTACAGATATAGGACAGTTAACATCTCCAGGTCCTTTCCAAGGGGATGGGCATGGTCTCCAAGCCCACTGTATCAAATGATTCTGTATCTCGGAACTGGTAGGAAACCAGAACTTTTTTTTAATGTAGCATTCCACAACATTCTCAGGCAGTCTAAAGCATGAAGATACACACAAACACACACACCTAAGCACACGCATACGCACGCACTCATACCTATGTACACACATCAAAAGAGATAGTCTGCTCATATTTAGTCTAGGAAAAAATATATTTATATCACTGCAATGGCACACCCTGGGTAAAATGTTATTTCAGCAATGCATATCATAGGCAGCTCATGAGAACTGGTTTTGTTCTATGTGGTGTCACCTGACCTGGTGTCCATAGTAAAACCTGTCGCCTTTGGTCACTTGCTGCCACACTGATGCAGCAGTGACATACAGGAATGGAATATGGAAATACGTATAAATAAAACCACGAGGAGTTTGGGAGTAAGCACTCTGCAGAGCTGGCGCTGTAAGACAGTACATTCCTCCGTGCAACTGGAGAACAGATGCTGAACTTTAATTCTGTTGATTTCACTGGGAAATGGGGTTAGAAAACCATACAGTTCTTCTTTTCAGGTGTAGATGTTATTTCAACCTTGTCTTTGCCCAGAACTGGTGTCACAGAAGCAGAAGAAACACATTTGGAAGGAGCTGAGGAGGGTGTGTTCTGTTTTCTTCCAAGGGCTTTGTAGTCGACAGGAAGGGCTGTGAGGCTGCGATAGCAGAATTTACTCCCTGCAGAGAAAAGAACAAGTCTTTAGACACAACATCAGCCAATGTTAACAGCCAGTGACCAACCTATAATATTGTGAGAAAGAAAACACTTTCGTAGAAGGTGGTATGGCCCCATAAAAGGAGTTGAGGAACATCTTGAATCCGTACTTTCTTCTTCTGAAAAAATAATAATTACAACAACAAAAGAGAATTTGTACCAACAGCTTGATGACAACAATTCTGAGGCTTGGATCAGAAACTGAAGCAGAGAGAGACTAAGCAACCTGCCCAAGGTCATACATCCTGACCTCAAAAAGCTGGGATTAGAGCCATAAAGTTCAAATCTATGGCCAGGCTCGAACCATTCTGTTGGACGAACACTCTTTGAAATGAAAATCTGGAATTGTTTCAGTTCACAATACACGAATGGTCACCATGAATGATTTAAAAGCAACCCGAGAAATTAAAAAGCAATGGATTTTTTTGAGGGGGTGGATAAAGAAACTTCTAAAGAGGAAGATTATCTTGTTTAGTAAAAGATCCATACAATATGCAGATAATCAGGGAGGAGAGGGAGGCTGGGGCCAGGGCACAGAGACGATGATGATGGTTTTGGAGGTCTCAGAGCTCCAGGCTCCTCTGAAATGCCAAGAAAATACCCACTGAGCCCTTTAGACCTCAGCCTAGAATCGGACCAGGCTGGTCCAGAGAATCACCAAGGCTGCTCAGGGCCCTTTCAACGTGTCAAATCACCAATTCAAAGGACAAGAGGAAATTTTCCTGCTTTCATCTGTGACAGGTGACTTCCAAGGTCGCTCCTTGGCCCTTACCTTCTACGAAGGGGCTGCATTTAATAGGTGAGACTGCAAATGTAGAACAGGGATTAAGAATTACGATGACTGTGCTTATTTTGTCTGCTCATTTATTTGGTGAATGTTCATTTGTAGGAAGGAATAAATAAAAACATTTCTTTGAGTGAAATGGCCACCTTTAAACATGTACAAAGCACAGTAGGTCTATTTGGAGAGACGGAAATAAAGGATTCTCACAAATTATTCATATAGAAATCAGCTTTTAAAATTGAAAATGATGAATGTGGGATAGGGTGTGGTTTTCAATATCTTCAGAAGATGATTGTTTCTTTTCATTGCAATGCAGTTTTACTTGTGAATTTATGTGAAGAAAATAAGAGAATACAAACTCGATCTTAAAGTTCTGTGATATAATCACACTATGTAGGTAAGTACTATACACACAAACACACACACACACACACACACACACACACACATTTGGGGTGGTACTGGGGATTGAATCTACATCCTTCACACTGAGCTACAATCCCCCGCCAGCCCTTTTATTATTTCTTACTTTGCAACTGTCTCGCCAATTCCCTAAATTGCCCAGGTTGGCTTTGAACTTGGGATCTTCCTGACTCAGCTTCCCAGACTCTGTGATTACAGGTATACTCAGCAGGCAAGCTGTATAATAAAGAGTTTCTTTGCTATCAGAAAGTCCATTCTTAGAGGAGAAAGAATGGCCTCAAATACATTTGTCCCATTTCAATGTGCCAACCCCCTTCTTCACTTAAGGCTGGGATCTAAATGTCTATTGTGTGTGTGTGTGTGTGCGTGTGTGTGTGTACAGTATTAAGTGAGCATTTGGTGGAGTTGATGTTCTTGCAGAATGAATGGAAATTTCTGGACATCTGAGGATAGAAGAGTGGGAATACAAAGGTTTATATCTAGTTGGGGCTAGAATAAGAGTTGAGGAAAATAAGCCTCTCTCCTTTGAATTTGGACAACTCCTTCATCAGGGGGAATTTCTTGAACAAAGACCAGATGAGGCATGTGGTGTATGAGGGCCACGAGTTGCTGAAGGGAATTCATTGGGACTAAATAAAGTGCTGCTCCTTTGAGTCAGCCAGAAAGACATCGAAATAGCTCTACCATTCATTGTAATGGAGTGGTACGTGCCCAGCTGACTGCCTTTCCAATTATAAAACAACAATTTCATAAACTTCTAGGGTAAACAATGTATGTTAATCCCTTAGGAGTCATTTGCTAGGAGTACTGCTTTTGTAGAGATATACATTTAGCCCTAACTGCTCCTAAATCCATTTAAACCAACCAAGGATGTTCATTTGCAGGGCCCCTGCTACTGTACTGCATTTCATTCTGCTCAGGCACGTGCAGTAAAGTGGCCAGGGTCACAAGTGAATGACAGCAGACTGAGTAGTTACACTTGGCCGCCAAACGAAGCAGACTGCCCTTTCTCCCGGAAGCTCACCGTACTGTCCACAAGAGGGTTTCGTACACACATATACATGACACCATCACGCATCAGGAAATGTGTTATTACAAAGGTATCATTATCTGTCTGGTTTACAGGGGAGGAACTCAGTTGTAAAGAAGAGTGGGGTGAACTTCCCAGTGTCAACATTTCAGATGGCTTTAGACTCTACAGCCGTCCCAATGCCAGAGCCTGGCTCCTGGCTTCACACCGGGAAGCAGTGGGACATTCCTACCATTCTCATGTCTCTTTTCTGAACTTCAGGGAGGCAGTGGCTTACAGTAAACACTTTTACTGCTGATGGTTACTATTTTAGACACTTAGAAAAGATTTTGGGGGGAGGCTTCCATTGGCTGTGACTCTAACACATTTAAGTGTTAAAACTAAGATTCAAAATGTAAACCTTAAATGACATAAGATTTCATATTCTACATTTCTTTCCATCCTTCCTTGATTATTTCATTTATAGAGATATCTGCCAAATAATAACAAAACTACTCCAGCATAGTATATAGCTTTAATTTCCTGGGATATGTTAGAATCAGTACATCCTCTCTGCAGAAAATTTCTGCTTTGAAAATGTTCAGTAGTTAGAAATATAAGAAAACAAAAATTTTAATTATTCAATGTCTGCAAGGTAATAGTCTGTTTTAATTTAAAATACAATTCCATAATGCTTTCTTATTGAAATTGGAACATTTTTTTTTAAAACAAAATATTCCACAGCTTTTTGAAAGAAAAAAATTTCAAAAAGTAAACAAACAAAACCAACCAAAAACCAAAAGCCCAACCTACATTTGTTAACTTTTAATATGAATATCCAGAACTCACAGACTTCAGCAAACGTAGTAGTAAAACAAAAATTGTTGGAGTAGCTTTAAAAACAAATTTTACATTCCTTCTGAACAGAAAAGCTTTTACAACTTACGTTGCAAAAAAAGGTTTCTACTAAACTGTCATGATTTGACAACATCCAATTTAACTTTCTTTACTCTATAAGAAATAGTTTTCAGGATAAAACTGAGGAGGGGAGGTTATTAAATCAACCAAGCTTTTGTTTAAAAGTGACAAAAATGGAATAAAAAAAAAATTCCCCGGTCCAAAGTTAGGTCACTTGCTTCTAAGAACGAACAAAGCCATTTAATTCATCTGTTTTAAGAGGAAAATCATAAAATAGAAGCATTGACAGCCCTTAATGAACTTATGGCTGCAAGATACATTCTTCACTTGGTTACTTTCAGATAACAAGGAAGTCAGCATGAGGGCCACATCTCCCATGTCTTGGTAAATCCTCCTTGGCGGATCCCATCTGGGGCAATGATTCCCAAAATAAGACAAGAGATTAGACCAATGCAAAAGACATCCCAGCACATCTTCAATGAAGCAAACTCTCCAAAAGAGCATGTGATTTAACAACTAGAGGGAAAGGGGTCCTCAACGTTGCTATTAGGTACTCAGAAGATACGGAATGTTTGGTACAAAGGACAAGAGGAACCCTCCCTGAGGGAAAATATTGCCAGAGGCATCCCTGAACTATCCTCCTGAACAACTTCACCTTGGACTTCACCTTGTGTAATTTATATTTCACGTCTTCCTAGAACATTAGGAGAACCATACTGTATTTGATGTCCTTTTCTATTATCAGGCAAAACCTGAACTCCTAAAAAAACACCCGAAAAAAACATATTACCTGGAGGACATGAAAAAATACCTGCTATTCAGTGTTGCAAATGAGATCAAGTTTACACACACACACACACACACACACACACACACACACACACACACACCTTTCATGTTTTTGCTGGGCATTCATTGTTGATTCTCTCAACTTACCTTATAGATTTTGAGGTTGCTTCTTTAAAAGGAGGGAAGTATGCAAGTTCCCTATTCCAGATTGTCACAGCCCATTTTCCATAAGGTAGTTATGATAAGTTTGTAGAGTCCACAAATAAAACTTTATATGGCCCAAAGAGACAGACTTTCTCTGTCCCAGTTAAGGGTTTGGGGTCCTGTATTTTTAAAATCTGCTTTCCTTTCCTTTCCAGCCCCGCCGTGTCCAAAGAATCCCCCAGGTGATGGGGACACTGAAGAGGCAACACACACGAGCCACATCCTTCAAAACTGTTCCTAGGTGCGGCCTTCGCTCCAGCGGAGGGAGATGACTGTAATTTATGCCACAAACAAAACACCATGGTTGTAATTCCAAACAGAGGAGGGATGGAGGATCCTCGGAGAAGCTCAGTGTCTGGCAGCAAATACAGCATCTAGAGTCGGAGGCAGAGTTCTACTTATATAGGTACATGTATTTTACAGACTGGTGATGGACTTGGGTACTTCTGAGAAACCATTTGTTCCAGGTCCAATCCCGATGACTGGCTGCCATTTCTGAAAAGCCCCACAGTTTCAGCAATCTGTACACCAAGCAATGCTGCAGATACCTTTTCCTTTAATTTCCGAGGGCGAAGACGAAGTAAAAAAAGTGCAGTTCTTCAATTAAAGTGCATGGATGAGGTAAACTAATTTCAAGAGTTCTGAGTTTATTCAGTACTGGCTCAGACAGGAACCATCCTGCCGTGCATCTGCTGCACCTGGGTGCGCATTGCCTGGACGCTGCTCAAAATCTTATTCTGGTGCGTGATGGCCGTGATGCCAATTCTCGCCAGGTCACTGTAGGTGGGGCGATGACAAAGAAGGAGAGAAAAAGTCACAAGGGCCGAGAATCTCTTTTTCCGGACTTCATGCAGACATACATTGGGTCAGCCACAGTTAACACAGCACAAGGCAGGTGTGTAAGCAATTCAGTACAACAGTGGAGGTGCTTTACAGAGGCTGTGTAAAAATATATGCAATCAAAATGAGAGGCATTCCAGTGTTTTTTTTTTTAATGAATAGGATGATTATGTAGCTCAAAGCAAGAAAAAAAAAAGGAAATACTATGAAATCTAGATTTACCCTTTCGTGTTACATCGCTGAGTACTTACTCCTGGTTCATGTGCACCACAGCCTCTAGCGTGGTATAACCAGCAGCTGTGAAGTTATCCTTATACCGGTCCATTTTAATGGCCTGGAGCCAGTCGCCTACTGATACGACAGCGGAGAATTCTGGGGAGCTGGGATCCAACAAGGCAGTGTTAGGTCTAGAAGTGAAAGGAGGAAGTGTAAACAGACAGGAGCTATCGGTGCTACAGGAAGACTCAGAAGCCAGGCAGCCTAAAATAGGCAGGAGCAACAGAGAGCCAAGAGAAGTTCGAAATGGAATACTCATCCTTAAATAGAACCATATGACTTTTGCCCTTAATTTGACAGAGCTATGAATATAGGTAATAAATAATCACATATCTGTGCTGAATTCCATTGCTCGAACTTGTTTTACACGGACCTTTTAGAGCAGTAATGCTCATAGCAGGTCTTTTAGCATTCTAGTGAGGGGTAAAGAGTAGGTAGGGCAGCCCTTGTGGCTGAAACCTATCCAGTCTGTGCAGAAAGAGTTCAGTCCTTCCTTGGACTGAATATTACAGATGTTACTTTTGCAACTATGGAGACATTAGTGAAGTACGAGTAAAAGAAGTACGAGAAAACTGTGAGCTTGTGACCTGCCAGATTTGATGGATACAGAGAGAACAGTGAGAAATCCAAGTCTGCATGCTTCCAGCCAGCTCTGCAGGCAGTCTCAGGGCATTCAGACCATTGAGAGACAGCAGGGAGTTAATCCCCTCTGTAATCAACCCACGCCTCACCAGCACGTGCGCCAAGACTGGCAGACAGAATGGCCACTTTGATCACTGTTGGGACTGTGGAATGTGCTTCTCCTATTCCTTTGCTGCAGCTTCCAAATAATGATTTCAACAAATTCAAAGCACTTCTTATTAACTTATTTATTCGTCTACTAATTTCTCAAGCCAGGTGTTTTATATTAGGCCACTGGCAAGAATGACTAGAGGTAGGAATTCTGCCATTCATCCTCATACTGATACAACAGTAAATCACCTATTTTAAGGAAAGTATTATCAGGAGAATTGTAGTGATCTTCATCAGAACTACTAAGCAATCGTAGGACAGCTCTTCACATTTATCTTAAGCAACCTTTACTATGACTACCTCGTCTGCAGCAATATTGTTATTTGTTGTTACATTTTCTTGAACTTCTCTTTTCCTTAAAAGTTCGATCTTGGTAGTTGGACCTGACTTTCACCCTGGGATTATGTTTGAGTGCAAACATTTATATTGGAATTACATAATTTCAATCAAAAGTTTCTTTTCTTGTAGTAAGAAAATTAGGTCAATATAATGCCTCGATTGTCTGTAAAGCAGAATTAATCCAATTCCATTTAAAATTTTTTACTTTCATCTAAAATTATTTGCTTTGTACTACTTCTTCATCATATAAATATTGCAATAAAGATTTGTTTTACCAATCAGCTTTATGTGCAAATAATAGCTCGACTTGGTGACCCTTCTCTTGTACCCATTACTTGAAGTTTAGTATTCTGAGGAAAAGTCTACAGATATTCACAGTGAGAATAATCAAGATTTAATTCTTCTCTCAAATTTGAGTTAAAGAATTAAGACAGAGTTCTAGATTTGCAAGTGAGTGGTGGATATACAGCAATAGCATTTGTCTTTAGGCAAGGACTTATTGGTTTGGATTTACTTCTAACTTCAATCCAAGCCCATTAACAATGCAAGCCATAGGCTCTAAATGCCTGACAAGGTCAAAATGACCTCAGGATGAAAATATCTTCATTCATTGTCAATTAACACTAAGGCTCAGTCTCGAGCTTGTTCTGGAAGTCTCCACGTTCTTTGTAGAACATCATGACATTTGCCTAATTTTGTGAGGGAGCACGTGACATGATATGTTACATCCTATTATCAGAAATAGTAATTAGCATTGTACCATCAGTGAGAAAAGTCTAGAAATAAGAAAAGTGTATCCAAGAATTCAATTTACTCTGTACTTTGGTGCAAAGCAGGTATTATGTGGTATTAGAGGCTGAACATCTTATGTATTCTCCTAAATACATGAGGAGCAACAGGAGACTGGCCTTAGAAACTGCAGACATGGGCTCTGGGGCTGATGATCTAAAAGACAGAGGAGATTGACCTAGAACTGAAGAAACTGGCTACACCTAGAATGGAGGCCTCATAGTTCCCCTTTTCACCATTTCTGAGAATAGAAGAACAAAAAACAGCTCAGAAATGGCAGGTTACTTTCTTCTGTTCAGAAAGTTACCATGTGGGTGAGGTGAGGTGTGAATTTAGCCCATTTTGAGGTAATTTCAAGAGCTTGACCATTACGCTTTTTATCTAATGGGCAATAATAGTAACCTGAAAGTACAGAAGAGAGAAGGTGGTTCCTCTGCTATCTACTCCAAATTCTTTTTCATGTATTGTGATAAGAGTTGTATTCTTTTTCTTCCAGAAACTTGAAGCTAAGTTTTTAGGAAAAAGAGTGAAGGAAAATACCAGTGGCCTGCGAAGACTGACAAGGCTTAAACATTATGGAGGAATTAAAATATCCTTCTATTTTTAATTCATAGCCCCGTAAAAGGAGGAGGGTTTGAGAAGCTCAGATCTGGAGATGAGGTGGTACTTCGATGTCACTTAGTCTAATTGTTCTTGGCTTCTTCAACAGTTTGAGTAACAAGGATGGTCTGCGCCTTTCAGCTGGGCCTGGCATGTAGGCACTCTGAATGTGACGGCAGCAAAGCCATGCTGCTTGGAGGAAAGCTCCCAGTGACTTATGGCACAGATAGTATCCTTGTGTACTTCAGAGACTGACACACTTCGTGTCACTCCTGCCAGTGAATTAACTACCTCTTTCCCAGATGGTCCAACCCTTTTTGTTTTGAAGCCCCTTCTCAAAAATTCATCTGCATGCTTTTTGTAACTTGATCAGTTTCTACATTGACTGTGTCCTTCTAAGACTCAGGGGAAATCAGACTGAAACCTAAAGAATCTCCTGCTACAATTAGCACTTGATAAGTCAACTTAGAGATGCAGTATTTAAAGGCTCATCCTTCCATCTTTATTTATTATTTCATGTTCCTTTGTCTTTTCAAAAAATACCGTCTACTGCCTTGAATGTCTTCCAAGAGTATATTTCAGCCTTTTGCTAAATTTTCAGGGCCAGCAGCATAAAACAAGCACTTGAGTTTTCTTTTTCCTTTTACATATTCTCACGACTATGAGAACTGACAGGCATGAGGCTCTTCAAAATGATGAAGAGAACTACTGTAAATACTTGACTAATTGAGAAAGAAGCCACCCAAGTTGCAGAGATCTACGAAGTGGCCTTTGATGAAAAGGGAGGAATTAAAATGAGTCACCACTAGCCTGCCACCTCTGATACATCCTTTCATACATTACTAGTAAGTAAGCAGGGCAAACCTGGAGCTCTCCGTCCCTGTCCTCTTCAAGCTGTTGGGGTTGCGGATGAGTTTGTCCAACATGTTGACAATCTGCCCAAATTTAGGCCTGTCGCTTCTCTCCTTCTGCCAGCAGTCCAGCATCAGCTGGTGGAGGGCAATGGGGCAGTCCATGGGAGGTGGTAGCCGGTAGCCTTCCTCGATGGCTTTAATCACCTACAGAGACAACGGGATGCTATGTTAAGCTGCCAGGCAGGATATTGCTGGAGGCTCACCCTCCAGACAGGCATGTTACACATAAAGTTGCCAGCAAGCTTGAGCATGGCACAGCTCCAACTCCTTCACAGAAGCCAACACTAGACCTGAGCACTGCTGGCAACAGGAGAGGAAGACAGCTGTTGCTATGAGGTGTTCATAAATGGCAAGCAATGCCACTCTGAAACTCTAAAAGGAAGGTGCATTCCTACTCCAAAGTCATTAAAACCCATGTAGATCAATAACATGGTGTCAGAGTTTTGGTGAGGCCCTCTGAGATCACAAGATCCTGTTCCAGCCCCTCCCCACTTTGCAAGTCAGCATCAACACACCTACACATTCCCTTAAAAAGAGACTGACCTAGTGCCAAAGATCCCTTCAGGAGCATTTAACAAAAAGTAATTCTCTTGGCATAATTTTAAGCCCAAGTCCTCCTGCTCACATAGCTAACACGGGTCAACACTAGAGCCTACCTCCAGATGCCTAACCGTTGTCCCTTTTGTAAGATTATACACTAAGACATCAATTTTGTGTCTCTTTTTCTGGATCTCAGTAGTCTTCTGGCTGACTGTTAAAAGTATATGCAATAGATTTTTTAAAATTTAAATTTTAAAGGAGGCCCTTGCACATTTAAGGAAAGAAGTTAAAATGGTAGGCAATAATTATCCTATTGTCCAAGACCTTCCAGAGTGGTTTTCTTGCTTAATAAGATATAAACCATTCTGCTGTCTCTCTCTGCCAATGCTAATTTTTCTAAGCTGGCATTATACTATTTTCTTATTGGCTTTTTTCTAAGCCCCTCCCCTTTGGGGCACGAATCCAAGTAACATAATGGGTGTGAGTCACGCCACACTTAAAGATGGGAGTTACTTCATAGTTTCTTGGGCCACTCCTACGCTTTGTTTATGAGTAACTCTGAGATTCTGGAAACTCTTTTATTTGTTTGAGGGTTTAAAATTTTATTTGCTTCAAATCAGCACTTTTGTTTTGTTTCATTTTGCTACAAAATCATCGCTGCTGGAGAAACAGTGGCTGTGGAAATCCCGGTGACTACACTGAACTCACCCAATGCGTCTATTGACTGCTCAAAAGTCGGCTTTCAAATAAAGTTAATTTAGTGGGATCCAGTTTCTGGATGCTAATTTGACTGTTGTCTTCTTAACCAGAAAACTACTTCACTTTAACAATCATCTTTTGATTGATTAACTCCTTTGATTCTTTTTCTCCATGTACTTTGTGACATCTCATTCTATTCTCTACTTCTCCAAGATAGACCTGTCTAAGGCATCTCATTTGATTCTACTTATTTGTGGCAAGGGCACTAGGTCACTTTGATCTTCTGACTTTTTTTTCTTTTTTCTTCCGAGGTACATGGTTTTGACTCTAAACTTGATGAAAACATTTCACATTGAATTGACGAGAACGCAAGCTAAGGTGACTCAATTGGTTGTAACACTCCTCAGACTGATTAATACTCTCTCAGAAGCCCTCTATTCCCTATCAGCTTGGAAGGTAGCTTGTGGATTAACAAAGCAAATTTTCTCAGTTTATTGCTGAATCTTTCAGGGGAAAAAAAAAAGATTCAAACAAAAAAATGTTAAGTTTGTCCTATTTTTGACAGTTACTTTCATGCAATGAATTCTACCCAGGAAGGTCATTCTCCAGTTACATTTCCTATTGATTCCTGTTCGACACAGAATCTAGCATAGAGAGACAAATATATGTGAATGCCAGATCTATATTATTGGTGGGCAAAGCGGCTTCAGATGATTTTTTTCATGGATAAAGCAAAAAATAAAGAAATAGTATGTACAACAGCCAATTGTTTTAATATAATATAGAATCTGTCCTAGTTGTACATCTAAAAATATATAAAGCAGGAATACTGGTATCTTTAGATACTGTTCCCTTGGGAACATTTAGCCACTTCTCTAAGTTGCAATAAGGGAAAGTTAAATATTAAATAATTATGTCGATACATGCATGATTTTTCAGTTAGGTTTTTTGTCTTTTTCCTTCTGAGGGTCTAAAATCTACATCCAAATATTGATGTAAGAAGCTACTTGAAGGCATCTACATGGTATAATAATAAAATATTACACACCATTCACTTCCATAGTCCTTATCCAGCTTGTAATTACCTGTCATTTAGACTAGCTGTGCTGTTTCTTCCCATCCACTATGAATCTCCTTTTACAAAAAAATATAAGATTAATACTACCCTTCCCTTTAATCTGGATATTCACAGTAGAGAATTCCTTTTTTGCCCCACTAGTGATGTAGTGCATCGGTTTCTCCACAGCTCTGAACATTCTTTTACTTTTTTTTTTTTTTTTTTTTGTACTGGGGATTGAACTCAGGTCCTTGCGCTTGCAAGGCAGGCCATCGAACAGCTGAGCTAAATCCCTGGCCCCTGAACATTCTTTTACTGATCAGGCAACCTGCATTCTATTTAAGAGCACCTGGCTCTTTGTGTAACTGCCAAGGCTCTTTTTGCAACTTCCTGTTTCTTCAGGAGAGTAAGGCAGCACTGTACACTGGAGAGAGTTTTTAAAAGAATTTTTTTCTAAAATATAATTTGCATTGAGAAGTTGAACACATCACACTTGTAAACATCTTCTGATGATCATTTATCCTGTTCATTAAAAAAAGGGAGGGGGGATGAGGTTCAAAAAGTAGAGTAAAGTATATTTTATTTTGATGGGAGTTTCCAAGCCCTTTAAAACTACCTAAAACTTTTCCAGAGGTAGTTTAAATGTGTTCAAGGAAGACCTCTGATCTAGGGCTCTCTGTTTGGATTTTTCCTTCTTTACTGGAGATGTTTGTAATTAAATCCTATTACTCTGGAATCTTATTAGTGTCATTATTGAATGCTTTTCTGAAATTGCAGGCATGCGGGTACTCCCTTACGAACTAGTCCAGATGGTACGTTTAAAGGGATGTGCATAATTTACAAAGGGTCATTTACTGCAGCTTTATTTTAGAGTCCTCGAGGGGCAAGCTCTAATTATAACTATGCCGGTTTTAAAATATTCACTAGTTTTCTTTCAATAAACCTTTCATGTCAATTTTATCACATGTGAGTTTTGTTTGTTTCTTTCTTCATAATCTTTGCTACATTTTGTTAAAATCCAAACATCAGTTTTGCTTTAGCATGGTACTGAAAGTTCACCGAATAGAAACATTATCCCATGCTGTTTATTATCAATATTTGTTTGTGTCCCTCTCTCCCCCACAGTATACCATGGAAATTGTTTAATTCTGAGCTTTGCAGTCAAAGGTTGTTGTAGGTCATGATATGGAACTAGAATATCAGATACATTTATACGAAGAACCTTGCATTTATATTATTTCAAACCAAATGCTCACTTCATCTCCCAGGAAAGAAGAACGTCCTGAATCTCAATGTAAAGCCATGTATATCAGAACACAGAGACTCACATCTTGATTGGACATATCCCAGTAGGGTCTCTCTCCGTACGACATCACTTCCCACATAACGATTCCATAGCTCCATACATCACTTGCTGATGTGAATTTACGATAGGCAATTGCTTCTGGCGCGGTCCACCGGATAGGAATCTTGCCACCCTGTGAGCATATAAGCCATAAGTTATTCCCTAAGTACATTATTGATGGGCCATTTTCATTTTTGAATGTAGTCACTGCTTGCTGGGCAGGACAACAACATTCTTGAGATAGCTCTCCCAACAATAATAAGAGACTTGTTTATTTTAACTAAAGTCTTCTAGCTTGAGACAGTTCTCCTTGTGTGTTTCCTTTAGTTGTAGGGAAGTGACCAAGTAATCTGTCTTAATTACTTTTTTAAAAAGCCTACCTATTATCTGAGCTCTCTTAAGGCAATACTATAGAAGCAAGGGGGGAAACCTGGGGATTTTACAAAGTAAGCGTGTTATCCAGTGTGTGTCAAAGGGTGCGTAGCTGACACTTGTTTGGACTCCTTAGTGCATTCCTTTTCGCTGCAGCACAAAGGTAATGCTTAACGCTGCTTTAGAAAAATGAATAAAAGAAGAGAAATATGAAAATTTCTGCTGATAATGCTGTCTTTCTAGTAGTGTATAGCGAAAGAAATATGCTCAATGTATATATAGCAAAAGAAATATGCTCATTGTATCTATCTAGAAGAAATATGTTAATGGACCCTTAAAGGAAGCCAAATAATGCCAGTATATTAGATCTATTACTAACATGAACAGAGGAAAAGTAGCATTTTTTCGATTTTTTTTAAACACTCACAAAAACGGTAAATCAACCATATATTACCAAGGGGAAAAAAGTTTCAATTCTGTTACTCCTTTTCTTAACCACCAATCTCTCCCATTTGTTCATTTTTACGTGTAAAGAATTTTTAATTTAGTTTCAGATTTCCTAGGGCTCTGTCTGAGGAAATTAACCGACTCGAATACAGACCCTTGATCTGCCTAAGCAGACCTGGTTTAAAGTTTTCTTGGTCTCATTGGGGCTATTAAACAGAACAATAAACTGTCCCGGGTATTGCTATGATATACTGCAGTTTACTCTGAAAACCCACTGCATGGCCTTGCTTCCTTAAATATTTGGCTAAGGGTGTATCTATGTTAGCCTATCATGTTAGAAGCCTTCTTCAACTTCTCTCTTTTTGACTACTGAGGAAAAAAAATAAAGGCTCTTTAGCTTTCACGAAGAGGTATTCTTTTCTAAATGGACAGACTTGAAATTCAAAAGAGGATATATGTAAGAACCAAAACTGGAGCCAAAGACACAGAATACCACCTCAAAACCTAAATAACCAACCAACTAACCAATCAAACAAACAAAAAACTCTTCAGTGCTTGGAACTGCAGATGTAAAATGCTGAGTGTTAAAGGGGGAGAATGGCTGGGAACTGTCTACCTCATGGATTTTAACAGTGTCAGCCTTAATAGCCAATAACTGTTTTATGATTCTGTGTTTATTCCATTAGTGTTTTATACTCAGATTGTCAGCCAAAGATAGCAGTGCCATTAACTTATACTGAACACTTGCAACTGTGCCCTAATCCATGCTTATCTACTAGCAGTAAAATGTAGGCCATTAGATACTGGAAAAACTTGCATAGTGTAATGTTTTATAAATCCTGTATATACATTCTCAGATACAGTAGTCAAATAAGCAGAAACACTACTTTGTCTTATTTAGAATAAGGATTAAAAAATGAATGAAAAAGAGTCAGAACGAAAATCTCAGACAAGGAAAGAAAAACAAAATAAGATAGTAAGAAAGTATAAATGTAAATGTTATAAGTGATGCCACCTCCCGACTTTCGTAGTAACTGATCGTCTGTTTTGTAAATTACCCTTTATACTTGCTTCTCATTTTGCTAATGTTTAAAGACATCCTCTTAGTATTCATCAGATTTGCCCGAGAAATTTCAGATGAGAAAGAATTTATTTTGATTGTGGCTTGCAACTCTGTAAAATGGAACTACATTTAGTCTGTTTCAGAATCCCTTTTTCGGAAACATGAATTAGAAATGGATGCAGGGACAGAACAGGCTCTGAAGGATGAAGAAACAAAACAAAGCAAAACAAAGCAAAACCAAACAAAAGACAAAGTGTTGAAGGTCATGGTGAAAAGACAGGATCCGTTTCATCAGAATGAAAGCCCAGGTGGCCAATCATCCTTACCCTCGTAGTATAAGCTGCTTCGGGGTCGTCCTCCAGCACCCGTGACATGCCAAAATCCGACACTTTGCAGACCAAGTTGCTGTTTACCAGGATGTTCCGTGCAGCCAGGTCGCGATGCACATAGCTCATGTCAGATAGGTACTTCATTCCAGACCCAATGCCACGAAGCATGCCCACTAGCTGAATGACTGTGAATCTGCCATCATTCTTCTGAACAGAAAATGGAGAGGAATCCTAATTAGGATGAGGCCAAATTAATTATCGCCCTGCATTTATTACTGAGTTTTTTTTGATATCTGTATCCGCTATGTGATGAAACTCAACATTATTTCCGGGCTTTTCTGACCAAAGTCGCAAATTCACTCATAGAGTGTATAGTAGGAACTGGGTTTGCTTCCTGTGATAGATGGAAATTATCCAAGTATAATGAATCTATAGCTCAAACCGCTTCACGATACAGGAATAAATCAAATCCTGCCCCCATTGCCCATGGATTATTTAATACCCTTAAAAACCACATCATTTTCTATTTCTCCTCTTCTTCCTTTGCTGTGATCAAAAAATCCATGAGTATAACTAAACAGAATGGATAAGGAATCTGTTAAGAGTTTTCTAAACACTCATGTTCTTGGGTTTAATATAAAACAGACACATACCCTGAGGAAGGCATCCAAAGAACCATTCTCCATGTACTCTGTTATGATCATTACTGGTTTACCTAGAGTTTTCAGAAAGAAAAACAAAAACCCTTGATGAACAGTGGAGTTAATGAGATAAAAATGGGCTGTGCACAATTTTACTGCCAAGACACCTGTCTTATGTGATATAATTTAATTAAAACAAGCCAAGCTTATGCCTCAGCTGTGGGGAGCTGGGGATGAAATATTAAAAGGATGAGTAGGTTCGAATTCCATCTGGAAGGTTAACCCTTTGGGTGGCTTGTTGACAAGGTCTTTAAGTAAAGTGGCCTCTGGTGTCCAGAGAGCACAGGAATGGATAATTGCTCTCTCAAACAAAAGGGGTAAACGATAATGGGCAGGCCTGTTTGAACATGAAAAAATCTTTAGGATAATTAATTTATTTTGTCCCCAGAAGAGCCACTTGTGTGATGCTAAATAAGTGAATGCACAGAGGAACCTTTTTTCCTTACTTAGGGAAGCCCCAGTTTCAAGAGGCAGGGGTGGTGTTGGATATGCCATGATTTAGACACATCTTAAAACCCGATCGTGCATAATGTACAGTCCTTTCTATTGTCTTGCTCTGGTCAAGGGCTTTATTTAGACTTTCTCTTCTTTTATTCTACCTATAAGGAAAGTTGTTCCATTTCCTTCTGTAAACTACCCACCTTGAAAGACAAAACTATTGCAGAAAATGTTCAGTCCATTATTTCACCTGAGGTAGGAATTTAAATTTAGTACTAGAACATTCTGAGTATATTCCCCTTTCTCTCTCTCTCTCTCATATATCTTCCTTGCTTACAGGGGGTTGAACTCAGGACCTTGCACTTGTGAGGCAGGCACAGGACCACTGAGCTAAACTCCCAGTCCAATTCCCCCTACTTTAGCAAAGAAATCATTCTGATTTCATACTCTAGGTGCAGTTAGAATAAGTAGCACTTTCATTCCTCTTTCTGAGGGCCGTAGGAAATAAGAATCATTCTTTAGTTTCTTAATCACTGCCAATGGACTGAAGGTCTGAAATGCCTTCTTTCTAAGGGGTGTCAGTGGAGAGAGGAGAGTGCTACTTCTATTTCCTACTCAAAGGAAGGTAAACAAAGTAAAGAAGACTTCCTTGGATAAGAATAAAACATCAATTAAATAAATCAAAAATATTCATTTTTATTGCTGAACATGCTGATTGTTTGGACTTAGGGAAAATGGGCTGGGACATTTGTTAGTTGAAAAGCACCTTTTTTTTTCCCTAAACTAACAGATTTTTTACTCAGATGCCATTAGCTAGCTTTTTGGTCTGGGGTGTGTGTGTGAAATCATGCAGAGGCAAGCATTTTGAATTAGAAGACAATAAGAGTATATTTAAAGGAGGAAATAAAGTTCATACAAAAAATAGAAGGCATCTTGGTGTAAACCAAAGGATGGATTAAACCTTGCCAGTCTTCTCCTTTGCTGACTGGGGGAAACCGGTGCCTCTTTCCATCCTCCATCAGTATAAATAGGATGCATTTACCTTGTATATCTGCATCCCAGTCTTTGGACAGATCGACTCATCTAAGTGAGTTTTAATTAACTTGCCTCCATCAAAAGATACTTCCGACAACTAATGAAGAAAGGCTGACTCTCTGGGCCAAGCGTTAACACCTACGTCCCTTTCACCAGATCCCTGTGGAGCTCTGGAGAAGAGAGTGGAAGATCCAAAAGAGAGGGAAGCGGGAGAATTTATGGTCCTCATACCAATTTAGAAAGTTACTCAAGTAACTGCTGGTAATGAATTCACTCTCTCCCATTCTACCCTTTCACCCTAACACTTCCCTAGCCTGACGCTTGGCACCATCTTCACAATTTTTCTACCTTCCTTCTTCTGTTTATTAAAAAGTATCCATTTGTCAGAATCTCTATGAGCTCTACGAGGGAAACAAAGATGAATGTCTCCAGCAGCAGAAGGGCTTACATAAAATGGGCCCGGGCTGTGCTCATGCATAGAGATAGCTCTTCCCCTGCAACAGGGAGAGGAGAGGAGGGGTACAGGGGCTACATCTCTGGTGGAAATTTTAAATCATTTTAATTCAGTGACAACTGCATTATGCAAATGCATCCAGTCGTTTATAACAGTTACAGCTGTAATAGCGATGTCTTTTAGAGGCGCGGTGGGACTTTAATACAAAGATTCCCTGTTTCTTCCCCTTTTCTGCTGAGGTGCTATGAAAATCACTGTCTGTGGCAGGAAAAACACCTTGAACTGAACAGAGCCTCTTTTTTAGAAAATGGACCTGCAGAAGTATTTAAGAGGAATATTGTTATCTTTTAATTAAAGTAGCAAGTAGCAAGGGGCTCCAAGCAACCCTAAAAGCCACAGGCAACAGAAAAATATCCTGTCTGTAAAACTAATCTTAAAAAGCCAATAGAGCTATTCTATGCTAATGATACCCCTCACCTTAGTAGAAAATTATATATCCTCAGCACTAAGTTTCCTTTCTGAACATTTCTGAAAATGAGGAAAGATGTACTTCTTCAGATAAAATAATATCATTTAACATAAGGGCTTTTTTTTTTAATCTAACTTTATGCTAACCACTCTAAATGTTTTATTTGTATCCCTTGTAAGGCAACTTCTATTTTTATCTCCATTTTTCAGACGAAGAAACTGAAACAGAAAGACTGAACTACCTACTGGCCAAGGTCATTTGTTCTAAGCACACAGCTGTCTTTTGTCACTGGTTCCCAAAGTGGGGTTCCTGGATTTGCAACACTGGGGTGAGCGCTTGTGAAATGCAAGCTCAGGGGTCCTACCTCACTCGCTGATTCAAATGTACAGGGGGCAACTTTTAGAAAGAAGCCGCTTTAACAAATATGCCACGGGATTCTAGTCTATGTTTAACTCTGAGGACCTCTGAACTGGCATACACTTGCCCCCCCCCTTTTTAGTAAACTCGTCAGTTTCCTCTCTGTAGAGATTCTGTGCCTTGTAGCCTATTACCACCGAGTCTCACTCTTATTCCTTAACTCTTCCCTGCAGGCCCAGCTTCACACCCTGGAGCAGCCACACCCCTAGTACTCGGCATCTGTGGATCTGCATGCTTTACACAGACACACTGTATCAAATAAAGTAAACCTTGACCTTCCATAGACCCAGCCCCAAGCCTACGAGATCCGTGACAGGTACAGTACTGTAGTTGGTCCCACAGCTCCTGGAGCTGCAACACCCTCAACAGTCACCTTTTCAACGGCGCTGTCCCCACGGCAGTTTATTAGGTTATCTTAGCCAGCCCTACAGATGTACTTGGGCTTTGATGAGCAAAAATGCATCTGTTGAGCTGTGTCGTATTTTAACTGAAGCATAGTTCACAGCGAATGCTAATGGACTAAAAAAAAGAAGGTTCAACCAGGTGTTATTGTAAATAGGTGCTGAATGGCACTAGCCATAAATCAGGCAGAGCAGACAAGCAAATCCCCCCAATATAATAAAGATTCTTAGAATTCACTCCCTGCATCTGGAACCGAAGCTTCCGCACAAGGTGTGTTAAGGTTTTGTTGTGCTTTATATGAAAAGTACTTAAAATTTATTTTGCTCACCATCTGCTCATGATTTGAAAGATGGCAAAAGTTTGCAATATTAATTTCCCTAAAATCTCACGCAAGCTGCCTTGGAGATGGAGTATCAGCTGAAACCATAGACCCATTTAGCGCTGACGACAAGATTAATGACTTGCCCTACACCGAATTCGTCCTATTAGCAATCAGTGGGTCTACTCCATCTGTCATTTCGCTGCCAAGAAAATGTCTGTTTAATTTCCCAGTAACTTCTAGTTTGGCTTTGTAAAGGGAGTGACCCCACATACATTTGGTGACAACGCCTTCCAAATGAATTATGTTCGGGTGGTCAAACTGCCCCATGATGCTGGCCTCGCTCAGGAAGTCTCTCCTCTGCTTGTCTGTATAACCAGCTTTCAGGGTCTTGATAGCCACACAGATCTCCCTCTTGCCGGGCACTTTGAGACGCCCACTGCAGACTTCGCCAAATTCACCTTTGGGAGAGAAAAGGAATCTATAATGTACCAGAAACACATTCAATGATTCAAGGGTTTTAGCTAACATTTGTTGCTAACATGTGTTGAGTGTCTATTATCTGCCAGGCAAGATGCTGGTACTTTACACAGATTATTTCATTTAATCTTTCCCCAAAACTCTGGTAGGTGCTATTATCACCCCCTCCTTTCAGGAAAAACTGAGGCTTAATAGAAAAACCTGCCCAAAGTCTATAATAAGGAGCAGAGTGAACATTTTGAATATAATCAATCTGACTTCAGCTCTCACATGCTTATTCATTTTATTTGCATACTTATTCTTGCTTAGGTAGATCTCACATGCTTATTCATTTTTTTTTTCCTGAAAACAAAGTCAAAATTTGTGAAGTCTTTATTGTAGATATTTTATACTTCACATATGGAACTCTCATCACACAATGTCTACATATATAGATATACCTGCGACACTCACACACATACACACATTTATATAATTTACACACAGGCATTTAAGTCCATCAAGATAGCTGATTTACTAGGCACATATCAGACACTTACCAACTCCTATGACTTTTTCAATCTTAATGCATGATGCGTCAATCTCCTTGGCAAATTCTCGAACTGCCTGGTTAGGATCTTCATATGTAAAGGGATCCACATAAGTTCTAACACCTAAATAATAAAGACAGGATGGGTTGAGAGAAAACACTTCTCAGGACCCACTAATTAATAGAAGTAGTCCAGGCCTAAAACATGCTTAACAGGGAAAAGCTAGGCTAGATGTACGGTCTTAGACTATGCAAATGTTTAAGTTTTGGCCCAGGTTTTTATTAGTGGGTAAACAAAGTCTTATGGGCTGCTCAAGAAGCCCTGGCTGTACTGACTTCTGGATTATCTTCACATTTCAAGGACAGGAGTTTAAAAGAAACCCATCCCATTGACGGAAAGAGAGTCTATAAGGAAACAGTGAATGTATTAGCTGAATACTGATGTCCCAAACAGTCTCACAGGCCTTTCGTCTTGGACAATATCCCACCTCCCATTCAGCTAGTCTCTCTTAGTGAACATAACAGGGACTCTGTCAGCTGCCCTGTCTACAGGAGGTCACCTTTCATCCACTATCTGGGCCAATTAAATATGTGGCCAATAATTAACATACTTAGATTAAACCCACATTAATACAGACAAAAATGACATAGTATCACCTGCTAGTTGATTTGGGAATATAGAATCTGTATGGGACCTTCACTTTCCTTCTGTTTTAGAAAGAAGGTGCTATACGCCAAGATACCGAAGTCCCACCAGGAAGTTTCAGCTGAAGAAAATGATGGTGGCTTAACTGCACATCGTTCGGACCCCAGGAAGTGCAGTTCAGCCATGTTTAGCAGTCACAAAGTAATTCAGAATGTGAGTCTGTAGCAACCGAGTTAAGGCAATCTAGCTTTACTGGACCTTCTACGGCATTGGGACTGCTAAGGCATTCTCCACGCCTGTCCATTTTTCCTTTGTCTCTGTATCTATTGTTGTGAATAAGCTATTTAAGTTGGCTTTTTCTTCTCACTTTTTAACATAGCATTCTTGTTTATAAACATATATGCCACATGAGGACAAAATGTATCCCTTCAGAAAGAAAACAAGGTGGACTAGTGACACGTCATCAGACCCCTTGTATCCCATCCCCTATGCTCCAGGCTGAAAATCTTCCTCAGGCTTATTTATGTTTCTGCCACTCTTCCTTCATCCTCCTGTGTTAAAGGGAGCAGCAAGTCACAGGTAAATCCTTCAATGCAAAGAGGTTAAAATTAAATTTAAATTCCACTTCCTCGCTCCCTTGAGTTGCACTTCGATTGTTCGACAGCACACGTGGCAACTGGCTAACAGCGCAGACGCAGCACAGTGTCCCTAGTCCCAGAGAGTCCTACAAAAAAGTGCACAGTCAACCACTCTTCCTTTTGGGATCTCTCACTCATCTTGAGCCATTCTGGACCCAATTCTTATTTTATTCTTTGAGCTCTTCGGAAACACCAAACACCTAGAATCCACTAAGTGATTGCTGAGAGTCACTAACTCTGTGCCACACACTGCCGTTCTTTAGGAAGTAGTGAATACTGTTCAATTTATTGTATTTTTACTGCTCTCTCACCCCAATTTTTCTTTTCTTTTGGTACAGGGAATCAAACTCAAGTCCTTGCATTTGCAAGGCAGGCCCTGGAACCACTGAACTAAATCCCCGGATCAACCCAATTTTTATATGAGAAAGATTACCGAATAAACCTTGCCATCTAACTACAAGAATGAGCCAGCTACACCAATACTTTTTCAGTGTGGAGGACAAGATAAGGATATAGAGGATTCTAAAAGAGTATTTTCCACTTCACCCTTCTCTTTGATTTCCCTTTAAACCATCTTGAGTCACCTGTTTGATTTTATATCTCCGAAGTAAATTAACATGGATAATTATATAGATAATAGTGGCCATGTTAATATTATTTAGACACTTCTAAACTAGAAAACAAGACATGCTTTATAAAGATTATTTTTAATATCATGTTTTGTACCTTGATTCAAATGCTTCTCTTCATCGGCTTCCTGTTTCGCTTTACTGTATTTACTCCGTCTATTAAAAAAAAAATTAAAGGGAAAATTACTTCCCTCCAACACTAAAGCTGTAGCTATAGCCACCAGACGAGTTCTTTGCTACTATAATTACATCAAGCAGATACAGTGCATGTTTCACAGATGAGAAGACTGAGGCGCACAGAGGTGAAATAACAAGGTAAACATATTCCTCACCCGGGCAGTGAATCATGGCCAAGCCCAAGCAAAATCTAGAATCTCTGCTCTTAACCACAATTTTAAACATAAAACAAATATTTTGCAATATATTATAATTTCAAGTCCCTAGAGGAAAGATCTTCTTAAAGATGAGATTGTTGGCTATTTTTCCAGATTACGTATATATATGTTGATATTACATAGGCAAATATTCTACATTAAAATGAGTGGTCATGGGTAATTCTGCATAAATCATACAGTAGTAATGTTCAGTATGTGATAGATAATGTAAGCCCTAGTATCATAACAATGATAACCATTACCACAAAAACTCATTAGCATATTATGCTCTTAAAGCAATGTTTTTATTGATTTCAGCTGCTACATATAAATTTCTAAATTATCAACAGAAATTGAGATAGTAAATATTTTTTTGATACTGGAATGCATTTCTTAAGATTTCAGAGAAAACTAGTATGAGTGAAAATGGGAAGATTTTGTTTGCTTTGTTTAATTAATTCTCTTCTATGAAATCGGCATACAGTTTCAACATTTGCATTCTGCTCCTATGTCCTATGGGAGCAAATTCTGGTTTTGTTGTAAAGCCTTGGGAATTAGAAATCTTTAGTACATATAAATCATGCATCAGGAATACATAAATATATGCATTCATTCTGTGAACTGGAAAATCAACTCAAGATTTGAGAATATAATTTTAGTTTGTGCAGTTCTGAGAATTGACCCTAGAGCCTTGTAGATGCTAGGCAAACTCTGTCACTGAGCTGCACTGCCAGCCCTTCAGTATAAATTAGGAATCAGAAGCATATTACAAAGGAATTGGGAAATAATCTTAGCTGACATAACTCTCTAAAGTTTGGGGAGCCGAAACCAAATTAGTGAATAATTAGTGTTCAAGTAAGGCTGTCGAAATGCAAAGTTTACATTGGACTTTAGAATTATCTTGTATTTTCATTTAGTTTCAAGCCTATCATAGGTGAGGGAGCCGAGGCTCTGATGTGAGCCACCGCGTCTTGGCAGTGTGGTCCTGTCACACAGTCTGATGCCCTCGTCCCCAGACTCTGAACAAGCAGGAAAGCAGGATGACCGTGCCAAAGAAGAACGAGCAGAGAGCCGAGGAAGCCAGGCAGGAAACAGGGAGGCAGCCCAAGGTTGGGCATATGTACAAAGCTCCCCTCCCACATTCCTCTCCCAAGTGTCAGCAACATAGGAACCGACTCAGCAATCAGAACCTCCAAGCCTACAGATGTTCCTCTGTGTGGATAATTCCCTGGCAAATAATAATACCTTGCACTTTCACACTGCATTTAACTTTTCAAAGTGTTCTCATCACATATATTATCTCCTCCCCTAACTGTTTGCAAAGCAGGAACCAGCTTAGCAAAACAGAGACCCCAGTTACCAAGCTGAACTACAAAGTGCATATTTCAGTCCCAAATAATAGCCTGTGTTTCCCTTTGCATTTAAATTTTCAAAGGGCCTTCAGAGGGTCTATTATTTAATTGCATCTTTACAAAAAAGCCTATGAAAGGAATCAGGTGGAAAGACACATACTTAGCGCCACTGTACAGATGAGGACACAGGCCCAAGGGGCAAGTGAGTCACCCAAGTCCCCTCAGCAAGTGTGGAGTTTGATGGGTCCCCGACCTGGCCTGGGACTGCACAGTACCTGTCCATTGGAGATGTAGGTCCAAGGTAACGGATAAGGCTTAATTATAAGTAACAGCACGTTTGATACCAGTAAACCCACTTACATTCAACAGCTCTTAAAATCAAATGCTCCATCAATGAGCTAAACAGGTTTAAGTACCTTAAAACTGAACAACTTTATAGGAGAGACAGTTTCCTCCAACCCACTTCTTCCTGCATTCCTATCTCTTAATGGAATTGTATGCACGTTAGATCTGAGACTACTAAAACAACACTTTATATCAAGAAAACGTCAGGAGGGACTCCCCAGGGTGTGAGGATCCTGCCAGCCACAGGGATTGTATCTTATCAGAGCTCCTAAAAGCTTTACCTGAAATTACATGTATATCTTTCAAAGCAATTTTGCTCTTGAACACAGATTCACAGTTCTTTCCTTTAAAGAAAAAAGATGAAAACAAATAGAACAAAAGCTTTGGTAGCAATCTCCAACCCCTCTCCCGTTCTCCCACCATTGGGACCAAGCCCAGATCCTTGGGCATGCCGGTCAAAGTGCTCTATGACTCAGCCACACCCCCCAGCTCATGGTAGCCACTTTAAATTGTCACTGAGTTAGTAAAATACCTAGTATTGACATGACAGCCCAGTAGCCTCAAGCTGCACAGAAGTGTGGCTTTCTGTTCTACATCATACACCTTCATTAAGTATGGTCAGAGCCAGAGGAAACACAAAATAGTAAGGGTCATTCACTATAAAGCGGACCCGCCCTTCTCTTCCTCATCCTTCTAAACATAGAAAGAGTAATTAAATGAGCAGTGAAGGTACATTGTTAAAGACACTTCCTTACTTGGAGAGTGTTTGGAGGAGAGTGCCTTACAAGGGTACAAGGAATGTTGAAAAAGAAACACAGTATTACCACTCAAAGGCAAATTGTAGCCTATTCGTTCCTTAATAATACCTTGAAAACAGAAATGCCTGCATTCCACTCTACCTTTGTCACCTGATGACCCTTTCTCCTGGGCTCCCAGTAGGACAATGTGGCTCATTATTGCCCCCCAAAAGAAAGCCCACTGAAGCTTATTCTTGGGCCAGCCAGTCTAGAGGAACCACCAAGATTACAGAAGAGCTAACTCTAAATTAACGTGCCAGGCGGGTCAACTGAATAGCAGAAGAAAAGCTTTGTTGAAGATTTTCTAATTACGGAGAGGTGGGCAAGCCGATTAAAAGGGGGAAGGAGTGGAGTGGTTTGTTTAGTGAATGGTCCAGAAGGAAACATGGAACCTTTCAACAGCAGGAGTGAGGAAAAAGGCCGGGCTCTGCAGGTGAAGCTGAGAAAGAAAGCGAGGGGAGCCGCGGGGCCTGCAGTCAAAGGACCCAGTAATGAGTGTATTAACCAACATTGTTGAGGAACAGCATGAGTTCTCCCAGCCACTGTGCTGTTCCTGGCACCTTGACTGTTCCACAAAACAAACAAAACAGAGAAGGGGAGCGTGACAGGGCCCCTGCCCAAACCCTGCTTTTCGCAAAATACTAACTTCTCTCATCAAGTGGACAGATTTGATTGATGTGGTTCACTGTTCCAAAACTAATGAGCAAAAGGTAAGTAATTTATTCAACTAAAGTGCAGATTAAAGAAGACAAAGCAACGTAATAATGAGCATAGCTCCAGGAGGGACTCTGTCCAGTGCTTCGGAGGAACATCACTCACAAAGATTCACAGAAGCAGTCCTGCTTTCTCCTATGCAGTGAGCTGTCACTGTTTCTGAGCCAAAGAATTCCCCAGCGTTCTTCAAAAGCAACATTTCCAAATGGTTGCCACTGAACTTTCCGATTGCACCCAAGTTATTTAGAAATGTTCCTGAGGTACCATCTGCCCCCTGACTGTATGAATTTACATGACTTGATCAGAGCCAATTTAGGCTAACATTTCAGGGTATTCATTCTTAGGTGATCGTAATATTGCAGGAAAGAAAATTAGGGACCAAGGGAAGATGGACACAGGGTGAACAGAAACCATTTCAACATTATGTGAGCTGTTAACGCCAAAGCAGACAAAACTAACTTGGAAACTAACTTTATTGTGTGTTAGACTTGAACATTAATTCACAGATTACAACTCTCCAGCATGTTTGTCAAAGTCACTTCACTTTTTCCTTAAAAACAATTCCTGCTGTTTAATTTAGGTAAGAGGGATGTCTTATAACTCTAGCACAAGTAGAAACATCACTGGCCATCAGGAAGTCAGGATAGAAGAAGGAGCTACTTCCACCAAAAACCAAGCTGTCTTTAGAAACCAAGTCAAGGAGACTTCCTGACACTTTGAGAGATGAGGACATTTTTAATGTAAAATGAGGAAGAGCAGCTGTCAGAGAAACAAACCCAGATGCAATCACTAGTCCTGGAGCCTCTGACTTTATAATTGCAGTTTATGAAGTCACTGGTAACAGTCCTTTTAAGACCATTTTTAAAAGCACTGAAGACAGAGGCTACATTGTGGAGTTCACAAAAGTACACGTGTGTAAATAGGAAAACGGGGCCTTGCTGTTAAGAGAACGTGGCACGTGTGGCTTGGGATGAAATTTCTAGTAATAGAAACATCACACCGTGTCACAGCTTAAAACCACCAGGACCATGATGCACTTTGGAGGGCTGACACCATCCAGAAATGAGAATTTGAAGGACGAAGAAAGGCACAGATCAATGAGGTCTATATAAAATGTAAATTAATTTCCTGGGCATAAGGTGGGTGGTGAAAAAAATACATTTAATCCACGAACTTTTGTATAATCTCCTTTTAAACATATAAATTTGATTCATTCACCCGAGATCTCTACATGTTTACACATTTAAGTTGCACCCCTCCAAAAATTTAAAAAAAAAAAATCTTCTGATTAAAAAACAAACAAACTGGAGATTTTTCTGGCTTGCCTTAAGCTCAGGGATTTCAGGATAAATTGAATACGATAAAATAAATAAAACAGCTATTTAAAAATCCAACAAGATACTACTGTCGGCCAGAGGCTTTTTCTTCTTAGATAACAATCAGCAACAAACAGATTTTCTCTCTGCGGTCATCACAAGGACCAACACTTTGCTCACTATAGAAATCCTTGCTACTTCTCGAGGTCACATACCAGCAGCAGTGTGGGACTCCGTTTAAGGGGACGCATATAAGGGACTGGCTTCTTGCGTTCTTCCTGGCAACAGCAGTGTGTGCCTCAAAGAAGCAAGAAGCAGTCCTGCAGGTAAAGAACACGACTCGGATTATACGGCCTCCAGTGTTCAGTCTGCTGGGTGAAGTGGCAAGATTATTTCTGGGGCACCACTTACTACTTTTCATTTGTACTTTCACTAAAAGCCTGGCCGACTTTTGTCCATAGTACCTGTCTCCTCTCTGTTCACCTGCACACGTCCCACTTAAACATTTGTAGTCCAAGATAACAGAGCAGACAACCTGCGTGGGGAGAAGAATTGGCTGAGTGTGCATCCGTTGCCGCAAGCCTGTCAGCTACCTGGCTCCAGCCAGCCCTTCCCATGACAGCTTTATGGCTGGCACTAAAGAAGAATCAATATGAGGGCAAGGGGTTGACATTTCATTTTCTAAAAAGTGATCCATTGAGGACCAATCACCAAGCTGTGTTTATCAGCCTTGGGAAGTGACATTTTTTTTTTTTTTAATGGGGGAGAAGGGACAGGAATCATCACTGGGTAACCCGACAGGCTCAATTCTCTAAGGGGGGAACTCATAATTGGAAATCCAATGCATCCTGCTATCAATCCTGCCTTATATAATAATGTGATCAATAAAAGCAGAAAGGGAATTAAGTCATCAGGCTTGAGGATGCTATTTTCTATAGCCTGGGCTTTTAATAATCTTGTCTCCCTGCATTACATTTTCGTGGTTTTAAAAAAAAATTTTCATCAAGCTAATGTTTTAAATAAAACATCCAGAAGAAACTTATATTGAAGCAACTTATTTCCAATTACTACCCTGTATGACTGCTGAACTGAGGGCTACTTAAAATGAAAATTGGAAGGAAAAAAAAAACCCACGTAAATCTAAAGGTAAGCTGGACTACAACTACAGAATGTTTCCAACCAATATCAAAGAAATGGTCAGACCTCAGGGTATGTTCTCTGCTCAGCCACTGAGCATCAGATGGTGCTGGATTTCAATTAGTTTTTGTGAGACAGAGGTAATTAATAATTCCTTTTCGATGTCTGGTACCTTCAAATGCCTTTATTTTCCAAGAAAGATTGTTGGGATACACTGTAAAAAAAAACTTCAACTACAGAAATATGTACTAATGAAAGGAAAAGCCCATTAGATTCTGTACACATGGCCATCCCACCCCGTGCTGTCCACAGGCAGACGGATACACTCTGTGCACACAGTTCCCACATGATGTGCATGGCACATTACATACAAAAAAATCAAATGGCAATGATAAAGAAAACAAGGTCATCTTGACTGACTTCCAAATTTCAACTTCGTAGAGATGGAACTCACTGCTCTAATCAAGCACACCTACATATAGACTTTACACCAAAAGGAATGAACTCAGTGACAAATATATTGTACAGAATAAGGCATTGTTCCATACTGTGTTATTATTAGAGAGAACAAATCAATCTCTCTATACCTGAACATTTTGGAAAGTAAGAAAGGGGGAGGTTAGAAAAAGGATGGGACAACTTAGGCCATCCAGTCAAACTAGAGTATGCAGCCATCATCCTAATTATAATGAATTAAGATAAATAAACTAGGTTTATTTCCAAGAGCACTCTTATGCACACTATGTGATCAGTGGCTTGTCTCCGGGATTGCTGATGGCCTTTCCAATAGGAGGATAAAGAGCTTACTACTCATTTCTTTGTTTTAGTCACTCATGTAGGTTGAAGCACATTGTGTATACAATGGCACCCGTGGTGCCTATCAAAATTCTTCTACCAACAACAGATAATGATTATCTGTATCTCACAGAGAAATGCAAGCTCAAGTTAAGTGACCACAGCTAGCCAATGGAAAAGCCTAATATCTGGGTTGCTTTTTTACATGGTATTTCTTGCCTTTGGCAGCAAATTCAGACTTCACAGGGGGATACTTACAACACCTTACAACTGAAAAGATTTAAGAATCACCTGTTGGCTGGCCTTTTGCATGGCTTCCTGGAATCAGCTGAATCTTCTTGGGTCTCTTGGCAGCCCTGGCTGCCACCCAGTCACAACCACCAGCTTCCGTAGGGTTGTGGGAAGATGAAAGCAAAAGAAGGGAGCCTGGCATGCAAATGCTATGTTTATGATGCTAATCAAAAGCCTTCACTTTGCATGTAGAAGACAAAGAGCTCCCTCATAAAACTGGAAAGGTGGCTGGTGGTTGGAACAATGAGTGGCTTCAGCACTTACCTCCTGCTGATGACAAAAGCTGCAATGAGAATGACGACCAGCACCACGCTGCCTGAGACAGACACCAGGAGGACAGTGGAGTTGGCCCCATCTCCAATGATCCTGGAAGGCACTGGAAGGATAATTACACAGTAGTTACCCAAGATGGAGATCCCAAAATGTAGAACTTCTGGTTGGGTCATGTTATTGCTTTTCAACTTTCCAGAGCTCCTCGGAATACTCAGAGCATTTGTTATCTTTCTCTACACACTCACCCAATGGCAATTTTCTAACACGGCCTTAATGAGACAAAGACCTTTCTACAACTCTGTGATGAACTTAAACTGGAAGACTCATATTAAATCCTATGATAAACATAATTTGTTGTCTTTTCTTTTTTTCCACTTTTATCATCATCTGTGATAGTGAAAATTTTCAACTCAACTGCATCTTGAGACTCATGGAAAGGTAGCTAGATCACAGGGACACTTATATTCACAAGTGGATTAGCTGAATGTGAGGTGGGGCCCAGTTGGAAGTGGGCCATTAGAGGGTCCATCTCTTGTTGGCACTCTGCTGTCCAACCCCAATGAAACAAGCAGCTTTGCTCCACCATTCCCTTCAGCCGTGGTGTCTCTGCCTTACAGCCAGACAACCATGGACTGGAAACCCCTGAATCACTAAGCCAAATTAAACCTCTCCTCCTTTAAGTTGCAGCTGTCAGTGATCTTATCCAGAAATAGGAAAACTTACTAAAGTACCACCCTAACTCTTACATAATGATCAAATGCATTCCTAGGTGAGAATGACACCAGGAAATTTCATGAAGGACGAATGGTCTTGAATGGCCTTCCTTTCCTCACACTCATGAAAACCCTCCCTACAATTGGCCAACTCAAAACCACTTCCTCTTTGTAACCTTTCTGGATTATATCAAACATGTCAGTCAGTCCCCTTCAGATTTTACTTTCTCTTCTGCTTTTTTTTACATTTTTTTTACTCAATAATTTATTAATAAAATTATATTCATTAATTGATGTTGAAAATTCTGCTTCTCGATCTCCTCATCAAGAAGGCTCAATTTAATTGATTTTGTAATTGTAAAGATAGACATATCTTATACAACTGATAATTGTTGGTTAGGCTTCCTGGTAAATTTTTTATTTGTGCAGGTAGTGGTTCAGACTTATAACACAGAAAGATTTGACATTTTTTCCAAGGGCCTTAAAAAAAACTGATTTGACTAGATTTAGACAAATTCTGAGAAATAAGTAGAGGAAACAAAGTATTATTGGTCTCTTCTTTAATCTTCTGAGGAAGAAGATGCCTTATCTTAATGTAAGGTATCTATCTAACCCTCAATTAGCTTAGTAATCCCATTTTTCATGGTTTGTAGAACCAAGAGAAAAATTAGCAACATTTTTCATTCATATGAAAAGATAGATCAGATGATGTTATGAAAAACGTTCTTTTCTACAAGCTTTTCTAAGTCAAACATCAGATATCTTATTTCATGCAACTTTCTGTACAACACAATGCTTACCTAGCCAAAAACTATGTTCAATTCCTTACACATCACGGTGGTAGTAGCTGTCTTCTATTATAAAAAGAGCCCCAGAACAGTGGAAACCTGGGTAGCCTGTTACCTGTGTTGGTTGTGACCTCCAAGGGCTCACTGAAGTCTCCATAGCCAGCCGCTGTCCGGGCTCGCACATGGAAAACATAGGAAGTCAGAGGGTTCAGACCCTTGATGTCCGTGTTCCGGGCAGCTGTCCGAACTATCCGATAGCTTCGTTCATTCTGATCCTAGATTATGGGAAGATACAATTGGTTAAGGCAGCAGAACCAATCCTCTGTTGACTCTAAGTACAATATTAAAGGAACCAAGGCAGTAGGCTCAGGGAGCTGAATGTAAATAGAGCTTGATTAACTCTAAACCTTGTATTCATGTCAATGTTGTAAATACCATTGTTATATCTTAGATGTTGGAAGAAATGCACAGTTTAGGTCCGACTGTCCTTGAAAATGACTATGTCCAGATCTTCACTCATAATTTTTTTGTAAAGAGCATTAAATGATGGTTGATGTCTTTTCTAGCTGCATACCCAGCAATTTAAAAGAAATAACTGTGAGAGAGCACCTTGTCTTTTTCTATTTTCTGTCTAGAAAATGCAAAAAATATTGTAGTCTGATTTCAATTTAAAAATCCAGTTCCTTTTCTGCTTTAATAAGGAAGCCAACAAGTGATTATCTTCAAAAAGAAAGGCAAGTGTTCATTTTCTAGACATTCTTCAATGCAAATAGCTCTCTTCAGAATCCTATCTTTTAAGAGACAAGTTATTTGTAAAAATAATGCCTTCTATAACTTTAAGAGGCTGAAGAATGTAATTTTCCTTCCCTGATTTTTTATATTAAAAGTCATCAAAACCCACACCTTCATTTTGCCTAGCAGTGATCTACTTAAACAGATTATTATTGTAGCTGTTATGAGTCACTCTGCCTGATAGAAGGTTTATAGATTAGGATTTCTAAGCTGTCTAGATTTCCATTATTAGAAAAATATATATTTCTTCGTATTTTTCAAGGTAAGTAACTAAATTATAAATTTCATAATCAGATTTTATTGGGAAGCAAGATGCTTTCATCTGAAGATTTGCTGGTGTTCCAGGCTTTAGAATTGGCCAACACCTGAACATAAGAAGCAACAAAGAAGCTGTGCCTACTGGCACAAGTTTGTATTCCTAGCACACTTGGAGGCCAATGCAGAAGGATTTAGTTTGATCCCAGCCTGGGCAACTTTGTGAGACCCTGTCTCAAAAACTAAAAAACTAAAATTAAATTACAGAAAAAGAACAAGGGATGTATCTTCATGCAAGTGCCAGGGCTTCAATCTCTAGCCACCCCACCTTCCTGTCCCAGCAGAAAAAAAAGCTGGTTTTTCAAATAATACCTTCTCATAGTACTTGACTTCATACTCCAAGATTACTCCATTGGGCCGATCTGGTTCCAACCAAGCCAGAGCCACACTGTATCTTGTGACTTCTTTAGCCTGGACCAAAGCAATGGATGATGGCGCTATTGAGAAAAGAAAACAAAAGGCCTTTCATTTTAGGGAAAAAAATGTTTTTGCTGGAATCAGTCAGTAATTCCATCTTAAGAATACCATGTACAATTATTTTTTTTTTTCCTCTTGACCATTTCACTCTTCTCCAATACAAAAGATACTTGTATCATTCTGTAAAAGATTTATGTGGTTTGTTTTAATAGGACCAAGGTTTCGTAGTTTCACAGGCCTGTCCTCTTCCAAACAGTATAGAAGATGCTGTTTGGGCTTTGACCAGCAAACCATGATAACTTTTGGAGGACTTCCCTTTAAGCTCAGTGAATTTCCTCTCATCTACATCAAATAATTATGTGTCATCTTCTTGATATTTAATTTTATACTAGCAAGAGATTTTGCAGCTCTTCCCAAGTACTGTAGGGAATACCAGAAGGCAAATGATTTACATACTTTCTAATATAAATGAAAGTAGTGCTTAATTACAGCAAGAGTTTTAAGTTTAAACATAACCATGCAAATAATGAAGAATACAAATAAAGCAATGATGGTCACCCTGGACATAAATAGTATGTTGTAACTATTTCACAAGATTTGAAATATGGCTTTTGTCTGCTGGGTAGCAAACCTCCCTTTTTCCACTGAGAAAACACAAAAGCAGCCCTTTGTTGGGCATGTTACTGGGGTTGAGAAGAAGGGCCATCTTGGAGATCTGTAAAAGCAGGCTGCTCTGTGTTTGCTTCTTCTCTGTGGTAGTTAGTTATGGTTTATATCTAAATATCTGCCCAAAGCCTCATGTGCTCATAAGGTGGGGGTTTGGGAGGTGAACAGAACATAAATGTATGATACTCCTCAGTTGATTAGTCCATGGAGGAGTTCACAGCTTTATGTGATGTTGGGAAGTGAAGCCTGGTTGGAAGAGCCTGCGGGTGTGGCCTGGCTTCTTCCCTCCTTCCTTGATCTCTCCCTCTCCCTCTCCCACTTCGCCCCTTTCTCTTGCCTGTCATGCCATGGACTGTTTCTCCTCTGTGATGCCCTCCCTTCCGCTGTGCTCCCCTGCCTTGGAGGAGCCCACTACGGACTGAAACCTCTACAGACTGTGAGCAAACCTTTCCTCCTTTAAATTGTAGGTGTCAGGACTGTGTCCCAGCAAAACATGTTCACATCTCCAGCAAGCTGTTAACAAGCTCTGCTGTCACAGCCAGTGGTTGTGCCGAGTGTGCAGTCTCCAGGGAGAGAAGGGAGCATTCGTGAACTAGCTTCATTTTACCTAACAAAGCTGCCCTGGAAACTCAGAGATTAGGGGGATTCTTTCTTGAATTGAAATTATATTCAGTTTTGATTCTGGAGGGTAAAAATACACAACAAACATAAAAAGTAAAAAGCTTCTGAGGAACAACAAACTAATACTGGGTCATCCTCTAGCCTTTGCTTAATGCACACACAACTGCTAACCTATAACTAAGAGGGAAAAAATAAAAATAAAATAGATTGCCACTAGCAATGGAATAGAAAATTCTTTAAATCCCCTTGGCCATAACTGGTGCATATGCTTGTGGCAGGATATTCAACTGGCCATACTACAGTCATAAACAGTCCAAAGGGAAGCCAATCCAGCAAGGACTGTGTCCTGGAGGATTGTTTTACAGCCTGGCATCTCTGCTAGGGATGTTTCTAAAGAATAAAGCTCTCCCCCCCCTCTACCACCCCCCCAGTTTTCTATCTCTCTCTCCCTCAATCCCAAAGCTATTCCGCGTTGTATCACAGGCATAAATACAAGTGAAAGATACAATGGATACACATGTTCTCCATCAAAGGCAGCTCCAAGGTTAGTTAATGCCAAGCTAGATGAACAAAGTTGCATGCGGCAGACATATGGAAGCCACTGAACATCTGAGGAAAATAAAAAACGGAAATGTGCTCATTAGATGCATTAAGGTCCTTCCCCCAACACACACACACACACACACACACACACACACACACACACACACCTTTCTTCCTCTTTACTGACTGACACGGAGCCATTGTCCTACACACTATAAGGAGCAACTTTCTTAAATACAGAAGTAGCGAGGAGACTAGGAAGGCCACCTGACTGTGAAAACCTATTTCACTCCAGGTAATAAATATATTGCCTAACAGAGCACTTTAGCATGCACTCCATAAAAAGGGGCTCTTTAAACTTCAATGTTCAGGATTGGGAAACCGAAATAGAAAAGAGAAGCCATTAGAAAAAAAGCAGGAGGGAGGCAAATCATAAAATTATAAAATGAACTCTCTCTCACAAATGGTCTGGGTTAGATTCTGATCATTGGCAGATTCCTCGGGAAAGCATTGCCTGCCTGCCCTAGGAGGGCACTGATGAACTAAGACAGCTTTTCTCCGGTCGGGTTATCACTAAACTACTGCATGTGGAAAATGAATCCAATTTCTATTGTAGAAGTTTAAGCAGCAGTGTTCCAGTGGCCATTCAAAGGGAATATGAGCTCAGCCAAGGTACTCAAAAATTTCAAACAGAGAGTCAGCAATATAATACAATCATGTTAGCTAATAGAATATTTCTAATTCAGCCCTACTTGGAAAATTGATGTGTGCACCAATGTGAAAATAAATGAACAGGATGTACCTTAACTCAAGTGTCATAAAAATTCAGGAAACAGATTAATGAAAAACATAAGTAAGAAGCAAGAAAGACTGAATGAATGTAGGTTAGAATAGGGCACAGGCAGAAATCTGTTCAGTTGACGTTTGTCTTCAGTACCAACTACAGGCTACAACTAGGACAAAGTAGGATAATGAGCTGTAATTCTCAAAAAGTGTAACATCATGTGGCTATCAAATCTGAATTCTTTAAGCAGATGTGCTTCAGAAGAGCATGACACATAAGGACACGCAACAAAAGCAAGCCATGGCGAAATGAGGCTGGGAATCATACCTACAACACACAACTGCATTGTAGCACAATATGGCTGCTTCTGGCCCTTAAAGGAGAGCTTTGTACTTTCTATGAAGATACCAGTTTTTGGAAACTGAGTTTTGCCATACTACCACCTTGGAAAGGCAGCAACCTGGATGTCCTCCACATCATAAGCCACAGAAGGACCCTTTCCTTTGTTTGCATCACAGCCTCGAACTCTACATCTGGAAGCCATCACCCTGCCCTTGTGCCTGCCTGGAGTTCATTTTCCTAGATGAAGCATTTGGCAATGGAATTTCCCAGTCTTTTCCCACCCTAGTGGTTCCCATGCCTGGGTCTTCTCATACCATCCATTTGCTGCCACATCCTTCTGCAACTTATATAATGATTAAAGTAATATTTTTCTTAAGCACACACTATTTATAATGTATCTCTGGGAAGAAACATCCCACTTACTGGCATAAATTACACCCTATTATCACTTCCAATTAATGGGAGGTTACCATGACAATGAACATCATATGTAAATGAAACAATGTTAGCCATGTTTGCTGGACTTTCTTGTTCTCCAAGCCTTGCTAAATAGAGAGAGGAGTCGGAGCTAGAAACGCATTAACCACATCCAGGCACTGTTCTGAGAGTCGGACATTTGAGTTCTCCAAATTACTGAGAGTGGAAAAGGAACTAAATTTCACACAACGTGCTTCAACATCAAGTAGCATTGCAACTGATTCTCCCCTAAAATCATCTCAGATGACACCCCTGCCACTCCACTTTGGTAAACAATGATCAATGCTACACCAGTTAGAAATGCTTTTGATCTGCAATCCCAACATCCCAGGGCTCTGCCTTTTGGTAACAGAATTACAGGAAAAGATAATCATATAAATAACAGATCAAACATCCTCCCCATAAATGATCAACTGACAAATCAATGCTTCACTTCAAAAGAGGGCTTCCAATTATAGAAGGAATTTTGATCAACATAAAAAGATCAAGAAGGGGTAGGGATTTAGTTCAGCGGCACCACGCCAGCCTTGTAAGCGCAAGACTGTGAGTTCGATCCCTGGTACAAAACAAAAATAACAAAAAAAAAATATCAAGAAACGAAAAGGTTCTCAGTGGCCTCTCAGTTCTGAGTCACATCCCCACACACCGCAGAGACAGGGCTCTTCCTCAGTGCCGACTCATCTACTAAGCACACCTAGGGACAAGGCAAAGAGAGTGAACAGAGGCCTGACCAGAATACAGTCCTTGGTGTTACAGTTAAGTGACATCTTATTCTTTGGCCTCTCCTTAACTGAAGAAAAGGTGAAGGAAGGCATATCACACAGAGCTTGAGGACTCATTTTTCTAGAATTTAATAGTACAGCGGTTCCTGATAAGCCTCTTCCTATTCAAACTCTGTCTTGGAAATGGGGAGGAGAAAGAGGGTTCTCTGTCCTAGCTCCCTATCTGCAGATACACATTACACCTGCTGAAGAGTAAGAGGTGAGGCCCCAAGGAAGCTGGGGACTGACGTCCATATACTCATGGAAAGCGATGCATCACAGGTTGCACAGCACCCTGTCTACCCCCAGGCTTCCTTCAGAAAGGAGGTGGTTGTTGTAAGGAAAGCTGTGTTGCCTCTGGACAAAAGTGAGCATGTTTTTCCTGGTTAGAATTCAGACATTGCACACAGCAAGGAGGGAGGAAGATGATGATGGATGTACAAGTCACATGGGCAAGAACAAATAAAGGGTAGTTTTGAAAGAAAGATTTATCGCTTAATTCAACCTAGTCCGTACTTTTCAAAGTCTGGCAGGAGAATTTCCAGTGACCAATAGATGTCAGTTTTCCTGTTCTGCCATGCCAGTGCTGAGAACATCTGATCCTCTTATTCTCGCGATTTCCAGTTTATAATCTAAAATGCGTCCTTCATTTTCCGTGTTACTTACAAACCATGCTGACATGTTCACTCAGTCATTCAGCATGTATTTCTAAGCCTTTGGGAAGCTTAGAGTCTGGAGTAGAGCTAAAAAGACAATTTATGTCTATAAAAGGTCAAACATTAGTTAGCTGAAGAAAAAAGAGTGTCTAGGGACCAGAAGCTGGGAT